GCATCTCAAGGTTAGTAACTAGTAGAAGTTTTGATATAACCTGCTATATTTATGTATACAAATAAAGATAGAGAGGAAACTGAATTTCAGTTCATGCTGTTTTCTGACTTGTATCTACATTACCTTACATTCAAAACACATTAAATGCCTGCAGCATACTGTGAATATTTTTCTTATGCTTAATTTTTTTACAACATTCATAGTTTAAAAAATTAAATAGCATTAGCAGTATAACAAAAAGCATAAGGTTCCCAAACACCTCCGCTGACGCTTACTGTCCAGTAGGAGCCATTCATTACAACTGTATGTACTTTTGATACATATTACCATTTTTCTCAATTGTGATCATAGGATCATTTTTATTTCGTGATTTTTGTAGCTACTGTATGTTGATGTCTTACAAGAGCAATGTCATTATCTCCTGTTCTTCCTTCTCTTCCTCCCCTTTCTTCCTCTTCTCCTTTTCTTCCTTCTTCCTCTTCCTCTTTGCCTTCTCTCCCCTTCTCCTTCTCTTTCTCCTCTCTCTCCCCACAAACACAAAATGTTTCTCCACTTTTCTACCTTAGTCTCTCTTCAGCATCCCCATATGGCTATGTCATTCTTTGGTTCAATCAGTGTCTCAGTTTATATTCTGAAAAGTGTCTTAGCTGGTATTTTGAAAAAAAAAGGGGGGGGCTATGGCCAAATTTAAGGCTGATTATTGAAGAGTGTTACATCCCAAAACACAGAGGAGACGGAAGAATAAAGCAAAGGAAGAAATGTAAAAAAAGAAAAAGAGAGAGACATACAGTACAGCTGTAGCCTCAGAAAAAAGCTGGCCGTGTAGAAAGCCTCTGGAATGGGAGACTAGAGCCGGTTGACTCCAGTCAGAACCGTCTCTGCTGGAGGAGGAAGGAAAATTAATTTGTCAGCTCCTTCCCATCTCCTGGTGCTTTTAGGAGTCATCCGTTGGCTCCACAGTTGCAGCCTTAGCTACTCCCCACTTGTGGGTTTTGTTACTCAGTCCTCCAGCCACCCACAGGAGAGTCTGTGTGGACGTGGGCTGCACCTCTGGGGGGATGTGGGGAGACATGCTGATGCCCAGTCGTCGTGCTGGCAGGGACTGACATGAGGGGACAGCCTAGCGGCCAATGCTCTCCTCTGAGCAAGGTTGTGGGGATGAAGAGCAGACGCGGCCACAAAGTCTGCCTCCCACAAGCCGGTCTGCTGTAATCAGGATTGCGGTTTGTATTTTTAAGAATAAGGAAATAATATTCATAGTGAAGTCATGCATTATTCTAATTACATTTCTCATAAATTTAGCATTTTCTTTATTTTCTTCTTGTTATTATTAATTTGACAGAATTATAAATCCTTATCTGACAAAACATATTAGATTTTCTATTAGACTTATTTTCTTCCTTGGAGATATCACTGTGGAACATCTTTCCTCTCTTTTTAATATTTTTTAAAGATTTAGAAGTTTATTCATACGTTTTACACATGCATAATCACATTCATAAAGAATTTGTACCTAGACATGATCTATCTTAATTCTTCTTATTTTCTCATTCCCCGACCCTCTATCCTCTCTTCAACTCCTCTTTCTCTCCTTATTTACAAAAGCTTTCTTCCTAATTTTCCTTCTTTTCGTGCTTTTTATCTCCCCCGCTACACTTTCCCATTTGAGAATTTTCTTCCTATTTCACAATAGCTAATATACATTTTGGTCCTTATTTACACTTTCAGTTTCTCACACCAGAGAAACAATCTGATATTTATCCACGTGTGTTCAATTTATTTCACTTAAGAGTGTGGTCTCAAGGTACACACATTTACCTGAAAATGTCTCAAGCCTATCCTTCTTTATGGCTGAGTAGCACTCCATTCTATTTTAAAGAAAGAAAGAAGAAAACACATCTTCTTTAACCATTCTTTGGTTGAAAGCATTTGGGCTGTTTCCAAGATTTAATTATTACAAAATATGCTGCTGTAAACATGGATGTGCACATATTGCTATGGTATAATGTTTTTAATTTTTTTGGAATGCTACCAAGAAGGGGAATAGCTAGTTCAATGGAACCTCTAGTTTTAGCTTTTTAAGGTATCTCCACACTGATTTCCACAGTGGTTGCACCAGTCTACAGTTCATCAAACAATGGAGAAGGGTTCCTTTTTCCCCACCGTCCCTCTACCATTAGTTATTGGTCACTTTCTTGATAACAGCTGGTCTTTCTGGAGTAAGATGGAATCTCAGCATTCTTCTAATTTTCTTCTCTTGATGACCAGTGATATTTAACATTTTTTCATATACTTATTTGTTGTTTCTATTTCTTCATCTGAGAAGTGTCATTTACTACAGATGCCCACTTTTGGATTGGGTCTTTAAATTTCAGGGCTATGATTTTTTTGAGTTCTTTATATATTCTAGATATTAGTCCTTTGAGGAATAGTTGGCAAAATGTTTTTCCTACTCCATGGGTTGTCTCTTCACTCCATTGATGATTTCTTTTTCTGTGAACAATCTTTTTAATAAGATGAATTCCCAGTTGTTGACTCTTTGAATATTTCCTGTGTGATTGTTTATAAAGTCTTTGCCTACATATATGTCTTCAAGACTTCTACCCATTCTCTCTTCCAGGAGATTTAGTGTTTCTGTTTTAATATTTAGGTCTTTGATCCATTTTGATTTTAGTTTAATGCATGGTGAGAGACATAGGTCTAGTTTTGGTCTTCAGCATGTGGAAAGGCAGTTTTTCCAGCACTATTTATTAAAGAGGCAATCTTTCTTCCAGTGAAGGTGTTTGGCCCCTTTGTCCAAGATAAGAAGGATGAGCATGTTTGGAGTTCTTTCTGTGTCTTCTAATCTGTTCCTCTGATCCTCCAGTCTGTTTTGTTTTGTTTTTGCCAGTACTATGCTGTTTGTATTACAGTAACTTTGGAGCTCCTGACTGCCTTTATTGCCCGGAATTGTTTGCGCTCTTCTGGGTCTCTTCTGGTTCTAAATAAATTTTAGGGTTGTTTTCTTTAACTCTGTGAGGTATGGTATTGGTACTTTGATTGGGATTGCATTAAATCTGTATAACAATTTTGGGGGTACGGCCATTTTTACTCTGTTGGTTTTTCCTATCCCAGAACAAGGGCTATCTTTCTGTTTTCTGATATCACTTCCATCTCCTTTTTCAGAATTCTATAGTTTTCAATGTAAATACCTTTTACTTCTTTTCTTAAATTGATTCCTAAGTATTTCAGTTTTTTCAATGCTATTGTGAATGGTGTGGTTTCTGTAATTTGTCTCTCAGTGAGTTTGCTATTTGTGTGAAGGGATGCTATTGATTTTTGAGTGTTGACTCTGTATCCAGCTATGTGACTGAATTTGGTTATTGTATCGAGAAGTCTTTGGGTAGAGATTTGGGGGTTTTCTATGTAGAGCATCATGTCATCTGCAAATAACGATTTAGTTTTTTCTGTACTATTTTTATTCCTTTCATTTCTTTCTCTTGTCTAACTTCTGTGGCTAAAATTTTAAGAACGATATTAAATAGGAGTAGTGATATTGGACATTCTTGTCCTTTTCCTGATTTTAGCATGAAAGCTTTCAGTTTTTGTCCATTTCATATGATTTTGGCTGTTGGTTTTTCATAGATGACTTTTATCATGTTGAGATAAAGATTATCTATTCCAATTTTCTGTAAGGTTTTATCGTGAATGGCTGTTGGACTTTGTCAAATGCTTTTTCTTGTCTACTGAGATGATCAAGTGATTTTCCTCCTTGGCTGTACTGATATGGTGTATTATATTTATTTATTTGCATATGTTGAACCATCCCTGCATCCCTGAAATGAATCCTACTTGGTCATCCTGTATATTTTCATGGCAAGGTAGCACCCTTATGATCCAGCCACCTCTAGGCCCCACTTCTGAACATTGTAGTCTTAGGGATCAAGCCCTCAGTCCCTGAGGCTATGAGGAGTACTTCGTAATTAAACTGTAACACGTAGCTTATAGGGAAGGTAACATTTCTGAATTCTTACACCTCAGAAGATATCTTTACTTTTCTCCTCATGCTTGATGGATAGTTAAGCTTTGCATATTTTAGGTTCCCTCAGAATTCTAAAGGCACTGATCCATTTCTTTCACCTCTCAGTTCATTACTACGACAGCTAGCACCATTTTGATTCCTCTACTATAGACATATTTTATATTTAACAAGCTGAAAACTCAGCAGACCCCATTGGTCTGAGAACTGGTATCATTCACTTCCGGAAAATTTTTATTTTGTCAGGTCTTCATTAATTTCCTCTCCTCCATACTGTAAGTTCCTCTTCTGAAACTCCTGATAACTGGACAAGAAAATCAGTATTCTGGTCTTCTAAATTTTTAGTATTTCCCTACATTTTATATTTCTTTCTTTCATTCCCCTTTCCCAGAATTCTTCAACTTCATCTCCCAATCCTATATTGAATTTTTTATTTCTGCTATCAATTTTAATTATGAAAGTTCCTTCTTCTCTGCCCTCCATATTTTTTTTTTTTCAGAGCTTCATTTTCTCTTCCATCTGCTTTCCTTCTCTTCAGCCTCTAAATATCGGAGTGCTTGGGACATTTTCTCCTCATGTGGTCTTATTTACTTCCACAGTTTTAAATAGCATTTATTCTAGCCTTCTAATACACGCTATAAAAAATAGCCCCGCTTGATCACCATCATCTCTCACCCCATTCTCCTGTGTTTTCTTCATTGTTCTTATCACCGTGGAATCTGATTCTAGTTCGTAGCCACGGCCTTCATGGCAAGGATCCGAGGTCTGAGTAGGGCAATGGAAGCTGCAGAAAACAAGAGAATTAAGGCGGGACCAGGTGGGTCCACCCGCCTGCTGAGTGGAGAAAAACACCGCAGCCTGTGTGTCACTTTGTTTAAGGCGCGAGGAGGGGAAATACAGACAAGGAGATGGGGCGGGGTGTCCTTGGTGATTTCTTGTTCTATTCCATTCTGAGGCTCGCTGACTGATGAGGCTGGGGGGGGGCGGGGCAGGGACCTGCAAGCTTGCTGTTCCTAGGACTTTGTCCACTAGGACTACAATAAACAGAGTAAAAGGAACATTTCCTTGCGCTCTGGGCTATCTTGGCTGGGTAAATCTGGGCATAAAGGGAAGGAAGTCATGAAGTTCAGAAGGTGACAAGATGCCTCCTGATCACTCCCGGATCCTGAGCCTGCTCCCGACAGGATGTTAGCTATAGTAAGATATAAAAGTATAATTCAGAATAATATACATTATATAAGGTCCACAGGGAAGTTATCCTTGTCTACATTGTTAAGTATTATAACGCTATCACTTAGAAGAGTACTTGGCACCTTGCTTTGTAATATTTTTTAATAAATGTGAAAAACAGAAAGTCATCTTTTTAAATGTCTTTTTAAAAAAATATTTTTCTGTTTTACACAGGTCCTTTAAAGATATACAGAGGCTTTCATCTGATGTCTGTATATCCCTGGTGGTACATATAACAATAAAAATCTAAAACGCAAGTCGGTGTGGCAAGCATGACAAAGGCTTCTTTGCCTGGGGGCCTGTAAGCTGATCAGGCGTAGATCCAGCCATTTGAGGAAGACTCCAAATGTCAGTAACTGCGTTCTTCTCTATTAGACCAGTCTCGTGATCCACAGAGTCATTTATTGTCTTTTGTTTTTTCCTTCTAGGAAGTATGAGTAGAGTTTCTATTCAGTGTGTACTCAATGGCATAACCATAGCAAATTTTGCACATAGAGCAGAAGCCCAGACTCCTCTTTCCACCATGACCTACCACTTTGGAGTACAGTGAGACCCACTGAGGATCCTGTCCTAGCTTTAGCAGCGGTGACCGTGCTGTATTGAGTACTGAGTATGTTCCATGCACTGTACTGTATGAACCACCTACCTACTACGGCAGCCGGGGATGGGTGTTCACATTCACTGTGTCCCCCTTCCCTTAACTCTATTATTTATATATTGCCTCTTCTCCCTATATAGCCCCTAGCTATACCTGAAATTCCACATCCTGCATAGATCATACTCTCTAGAACCTATGCCTCCAGCCTTCTGCTAAGGAAGGATAAGAATATTCAGGGCTTCAAAAGGTCTTCACAAAAACTTTGAACAGTTCTTTTTTCAGCTCCAATTTGTAACTGTCTTCAAAAGTTCTTGGCATTTTTTCATTCTTGAAACTTCTTAAAAATCTGCAGTGCAGACAGAACAGCCTTTGTCCATTTGACCCAGCCCCGTTGGTATAAGTTTCAGCTTTTCTGTCTTCCTGAATCAGAAGCTTATTCAACTTTAAAATTCCACAAATTTATTCAGGGTTATCTCTTTTCCAATTCTCTACTTTTTAAAGTTTATAATTTATTTTTTTCTTTTTTGCCTTTTATTCTTAGTTGCAAGAAAGGGAGAAGATAGATTTATATGATTAGTATACCACCTTAATTATAACTTTGGACCAATACATTTCACCAACTAGCTTTTAACTCAGTCAAATGACTGAGTCTTACATATTAGAAATGCTACATGATCAATATCTACACCGGACGACCAAGACTTTTTAACTGAAACAAAAAATTTATATTCACGCACACACATATATGCATTCACACACACATACAGAGAAAGAGAGAGGGAGAGAGAGGGGGTGGAGGGAAAGAGAGATTCATCCTAAGTCCACAGGTTAAACAGATTTCTATGCCAAACTGTAGATAGGCACAGAGAATCAAAGTTTCTAATAAGATGTGTAATGATTAGCTTGATTCTGAAGAGATTTGAGCAAAGAGTAGTATAGTCTGAGACTTTTTGGAGGCTGTTAGCATGGAATGCTTATATGCTAAGTGACTAGTGACTTTTTTCTATTGAATATCTATTGAAATTTTTCTTTTTCTTTTTTTTTTTTTTCGGTACTGAGGATCGAACTGGGGTCCTCGTGCTTGCCGGGCAGGCTGCAGAACCACTGAGCTAAATCCCCAGCCTCTATTGAAGTTTTTATTTGTATACTACTTACTACAAGACAGCTGCAATTCAAAGCAAAGAAGTATCTATCTAGTAGACATTTGTTAAGTAATTGAATCCTATGATTTTATCTGCTTGAGTTTTTCCAT